GAGTATTTTTCATCGGACCGGAGCTACAGAGATCTAGTAGTGGAACAATCAGCCGACAAAGCAAGGAGCCCGTGGTGCCATGGTAGAGTATTGAACTCAATGACCAAAGGTCCCGGGTTCGAATTTCGGGGGTTCCAACCCTCGAGACTGGGTATGACTGGCTGATGACGGCTATTAAGCCAGAAATGGCCATTCCAGTTTCCCTTTGCTTAGGCGGATCCGTTTCATCATATCATCATAGTCACTATGTGACGGTCTGGCTGGTTCACGTTGTGAGCTCCTGGGCAAAGCGGAACTTAATTGTTCCTCTACTATATCGGCTAAGCACATATACTCAGCTACAAAGATGTTAGAGATGACTGGGGGACACGCAAAAATCCGATATTCAGCGACAAATAAAAATACTCTCAATGACCTCAAATAGACCATGACAAAGGCACGGGAAGATAATAAGGCGGGAGTATGCAAAAAACGATTAATATTTTAAGCATTCGTTGTGACTTCACGTAATAAAAACTCTGTTCCATCTATTTGCAACTTGCATCCCAACAAAACGCAAGACAAGGACGATACGGTGACATGAACTAATTGTCGGTCACCTTCCCCCTCTCTGGTCCCTAATTATGACTAGAATCTAACCCCTCTGATCCCTAAAGACCTCTCATTTTAATTACTACTGATTGGTTGCTTAAAATTTTGTTTACTCAACCCTCCTCTATATTATTGCATTTGAGTGATGATAAATTAATCGAAAACGTTCGTTCGCCTAACTGGAGTTCCTGAAATTAGGATTCGGTTACATCAGGGCGCCTTGTATATTAGTAAAACACCTGTGGCGGTGATGCTGTTGCTTTTGACGATGATTATTATAATTATTATTATACAGTGGCAGATGGGCGTACACCGATCAGGTAGAGGACACACTCGTCCGTCCATAGTACCTTTGGAGCTCACACTCCAACCTCTGCCGCAAGGCAGCTAAGAATATAGGCTGAAGGACATTAATGACAAAGACAAGAGGAACTAGGATGGCCATTTCTGGCTTATTTGCCGTCGTCAGGTAGTCATACCCAGCCCCAAGTGGTGTCCCACCCGAGTCTCGAATTCGCAACTCGAGTGAAATGCCCGAACCACTGAGCCATGAGCCGCTGACTTGCCGCTTCATGTACTGTGTACTTCCTACAGGGTTCCCTTCTAAATTTATGCACTTACGTTGCTGTCCTCTTCGACGGCAGAAGCCACTTGGAGCACCAGTTCCAACATCTCAGAGATGTCCGTGCCGGGTGTGATGAGGCCAAAACGCAGACAACTCAGTCCGGCGGTTATGATCGGCGGGACGGAATCGCGAGCTGCAGCAGCAGGTAGGGTGGAGGAGTCACTGCTAGCTGGCAGATACCCAC